GGCAGGGCAGTGGAGAGGTTGCAGACAAAGCAATGCTGATGAACCCCAGCGAGCAGGATGTTGGCATTTTAACCCTGGGGTCTTCCAGTCCTGCACATCCTCCTGGTCAGCCTCCTTCCCTGGAAGCCCACACGTGGCTAGAGAGGTACAGGGTGGAGGCCTGTAGCAATTTAGTTCGGGATTTCAGAGCTATATAGATCTTTTGCAATTTGATCTTCGTTTCCCCATGTTTACTTAGAAGGATATTAAAATGATCACAGAAGAGAACTTGGAAAACATCGTTTCTGTGATAAGTACTGTTGTTCTCCGGGGACTATGAGTATAGGCGTGTGCTCCCTTAAGTCATCTTGTCTAGGCTGTTTATCAAATTAGGTTGGTGCTTACTATTATTTAAGATTAATAAATAGACTAATGAGTATAGTAAATGTTTTATCTATAGTAATATCCCGAAAATAAAAATTATAGCTGACATTTATTGGGCACTTACTTTGTACCAGGTAGACTTTTTCCCAAGGAAAAGTAAATGCACTGATAGGGAATACTGTCTAAGTCCCATAGATGTCAGAAATCTTGAAACTTTGCTTTCAGAAGGCCAAAAAGTTGGAGCACCAGCTCAGCCTCTGCACACAGATCTCCATGCTGGAAATGAGGAACAGCATCGCCAGCTCCAGTGACAGCGAGGACGGCTTACACCAGTTCCTCCGGGGCACCCCCAGCGTGTCCTCTCTCCGTAAGTTAGCCCAAAACTGATACATGTCGGGATTCTGACGGATGGCACTGGAAATAGACAAATGACAACTTTGACCAGAAAAATAACTTTGCCAGTAACTCTTTGGCAACCTAAAGGCATCGTTAAAAATAATCAGATCTTTTCTGATTATTTTAATAATATCAGCCAAAATCCAACTTTAGATCTCTTATTTCTGTTTCAGAACGTGTTCACTGCTTTTGTCACCTACTTTTTTAAATATTGGTTCACTGGAATAATGGGAAAGGGTCCTTATGGTTTGCTGGGTATTCGGCTTTGTTGTTTTCATGATTTTAGTCCTGGTGAAAGCTTAGATCCAGCCATGTGTTAAAAACAGTAGCAAGCAACTCCTGGGTGTTTTACTGCTGGCTGGTTATCTCAGTGTGAGACCAGGTAATGGAATATCCCTGAAATGAAGGAGGCCACTCAACACCCCTGTGAGTTACTCATTCACACACCACCAAGCAGTACGTTTTGCAAGATCTCTCCATAGTTTAGACGGTTTTAAGACATTTTAAGTACAACTGATGACACAGATATTGAAGATTAGTAAGTAAAATGAGAGAAGCTAGATTATTTTAAGAATTAAATGCTTAAAATTATTTTACGCATTATTCCAAGAGTGGTAGTAAAAGAACTTTGAACAAATTCATGAGAAATAGCAAAAAGACAAAGTCTCCCGCTGCATAAACTAAAAACTATTACTATTTCCAAATGTATGTTAATCCAGAGTAACTTTCAGGTAAATATAGATAAACATTCAGCAATCCTAAGTGTCTGTGTAAATGAGTAACTGGATGCTTTGGATAAATTGGATTAAAGATTTTAACTATACTTTCCACTGACAAAGGATTGGCAAGCCCATATAATTGGTGCAAGCCTCCAAAGCAAAGTCTAGGCATAGAAATACTTTGTGTACCTAAAGGAGATTTCAGGAGCAACGCAAATGAGAAATTGGAAATGATTGTATTTTATTCTAAAGTTACTTTTTGAAAGTAACTGAGGTTAACCAAAGCCTGCAGTCTACTAGCATGTCAAATGTACTGAAACAGTTCGGTGCTCAAGAAGTGTTTTCAGCCCTGACTGGTTTGGCTGGGTGGATAGAGCGTCGGCCTGTGGACTGAAGGGTCCCAGGTTCGATTCCAGTCAAGGGCATGTACCTAGGTTGCGTGCACATCCCCAGTAGGGAGTGTGCAGGAGGCAGCTGGTCGATGTTTCTCTCTCATCGATGTTTCTAACTCTCTATCCCTCTCCCTTCCTCTCTGTAAAAAATCAATAAAATATATTTTAAAAAAAAGAAGTGTTTTCAAATGGACCCATCTTAGTTATATGTGTAGGGATTAATTACTATGAAAGATCAGCAGAAAGGGAATTATAGTTAAATATTGTATGTGGATTATTTTTCCTGTAGAATAGCTTGTTTTTGTAGTTCTTAGTTTTGTTTAGTTCCACAGTCTTGCTTACAAAGCACTGAGAACCAGTGGTATATAGCATGAGCATTTGTTGTCTTAAAATCAATCAGTTTTGTTTTTCTGTAGTATTTTATTGTATAATTTAAATATTTTGGGGATAAAAACATTTTAGGGGGAAAAAAGCTTCTGTACAGTATGTTGTTTAAATAGAATTAAAACATGTTTTCAAGATTAACATCTGTATTGTACTCGCCTCTGGAAACCTGTTTTCTGGTGCTCAGTGGATGGATCACATATGTGCATACAAACCTGGCTTTTGCTCTAATAATTATTAGCTGTGTGCCTTGTGGGAAGTCACATGACCTTTCTCATCCGACATGAACTGTCATATCTGGTCACAACTCCTGCTCCGTTTCCTTCCCTCTTCCCTACAGTAAACCGGGAGTGTAATCCAGCCACTCCTGAGCGGCTATCTCGGGCTTCAGTGTCTGTGAAGACGTGCGCTGCCCTTCAGGGCAGGGTCACATTTTCACTTCTCATTTCCTTGTTCCCTTGTCTCACTAGACTTTAGTACTTTGCTGTACAAAAAAAAGAAAGAAAGAAATGTGTGCAACCTGCTTACGTTGCTTATTTAATTATTTAGCCTCAGATTTATTATGCAAGATCTCACATATTGATACCAACGCGTCTAGCTACCTATGCATGCATATTGTTGAGTGTGTGTGTGAATTACACAGCACATCCTCGTTCATGCCTGCTCCCTTTGACCAGTCCTCGTTCTGAATCTCTTGGCTTCCCTCCTGCAGTTTTAATGAAAGACATCAGGGCTTGAGCACAACACTGACACAAATTATGAATTACTAATTCTATCATATAATTCATTAGAAACTGGTTAGTTCCTGTTTCTCTTACATGTTAGCTCATAAGTACCGAAGGCTGTTGTTTTTCCTTTGCCAGTCCCATCAATATGCCTCCTACTTTTCCATTACAAATTACATTCCTTGTAAAACAGAATGCAGAATCAATCTCCTAGGACCGTTGGGCTGAAATAACAAAATCTATCACATTTTGAGCATGTGTGAGGTCTTAGTAAAGGGTAGGTCCCTAAAACGAGTGACTAAGCTCTTATTATTCGAGTTTCTGATGTGCAAGTGAACAGCCTGGCAGCTGCTCTCAAAATGCTGATGGAGAGAAGGGAACTGACAGTAGCAGCTAGTATTTTCCAGGTACTCTCTGAACATCACCACATGGACTAGGCACTGGACTCCTGCACGGAGGGGGGCAGGTTAGTTTGTGCTAGATGATGAGGCACTAACAGGCAGTCCCCAACTCTCTGTGAGGAAGAGGCTGCTTTCTTGCTCACGTGCACATTGAGTGCTGCTCCAGGCCCGTGTCCAACTCACCCTGGGATGTGGAAGGAGCAGTCACTGTTTGGGTCACTGCCACTCCTGGCAGAGGGAAGACAGTGTGGCAGAATCATGTCATGGCTCTTACAGCTCCGCCACTTCCGCTCATGTTCTCTGGACCAGAGATGTCATTTGGCCAGAACCACCATTAGTGAATGGATCTTGAATCCTCCTGCGTGAGGGAGGGAAAGCAGGCATTTTGACAATAACACAATCTATCACAGTGAGTATTGTTTCACTTTACAGGTGAGGAAATGGGAACTATGAGATGTTTATTCGCCTCATTGGGGGCGAGGGGGAGGTCTGGATTGCAAACCTAGGTATCCTGTCTGATTCCAAAAGCCCATGCTGTTAGAACATATTGCCTCTGTGTATTAAGAAGAAAAGAAAAATGCATATACCATTTGACTAGTCCTTTATAGTTTAGAGGTCACTTTCACCCCGTTCTTGCATTTGAACCTGCCAGCTCTGCAGGAGGCACAGCAGCTGCTATTGTTCACCCCTCGGCAGGCGAGTCCCCTACTCTCAGGAGAAGGTAGCGCTTGCCCAGAGCCACGGCTTCCCCTGCGGCCTGCTTCATTGGAGAAACCTCCCACCCTCCCACCCTTCATTATAACCACACAGTGCTGCAAATAGGTGTTCCTGGACTGGTTAATTTCCATTTCACTGAAATTTTCCTCATATTCTTTGTATGAAGGTTCTAATAGGAACATTTGAAATTAACCATTTGTATTCTTCAGACTTTTAGCTTTTGGTTAGCTTTCACTTTGCCTCGCATGTGCTCACAGAATTACAAGCAATGCTACTCTCTAAAAATTAGATGTATTTCATATATTTTTCCTAATTAAACAACTTTTACATTCCAGTTAGTCATTAACTCAAATAAAGTAGTAGAGCTAAACATTAAAATGCAAATCAGTATCAGCACATATCATTTGCATTTGGTTGATACATCCCTAAAGTCTCTTAATCTCTGAGCGTCCCTTTTATCTTTGGCTGTCTCTCTCTCTGTGTGTTTCTGCATTTTTGTTTTGTTTTGGGGTTTTTTGTTTGTCCTATAGAACATTGATTCTTTTTTTTTTTTTAATCCTTACCTGAGGACACTTTCACTGATTTTGAGAGAGAGAGAGAGAGAGAGAGAGAGAGAGAGAGAGAGATGAGAGAGAAACATCGATCAGTTGCCTCCCGCACATGCCCTGACCAGGCCCAGGGACTGAATCCACCACTTAGGTGTATGTCCTGACCAGGAATCGAACCCGGGATCTTTTGGTGAATAGGACGGTACTCCCACCAACTGAGCCACACCAGCCAGGGCAGAACATTGATTCTTAAACATAAAGGAGCATATGAATCAAGTGGAGCTCTTATTAATGCTTCTAATGCAGATGGGCAGACAGGGGTGGGGCCTGGGATTCCACCTGGTTAGCAGATACCACGTGATGCCAATGTGTCCGGTCCTGAACTACACCTTTAGCAGCTAGGCCATAGGGTTCCCTACATTTTGGGATTTTGTTGATTGCATCCTCCTGGTGGTGATCACAGTGTTTCTTGTATTTTCTGTCCACTGGTAGGTGATCTAGGGGCTTGCAAAGGTTCTGGTGAAGGCACTATTTAAACATCTTACCCCGTGTGGGATATAACACTACACACACACTTCATAGCATTACACAGCATATGTGCAGTGTAACTAAATGCCGTTCAGAAACAGGTGAGGGGAAACGTTAGGTGAACCATTTCAGAGAAATTTCTGCTGGCCCAGTTCTTACGTTGTGCTCTGTTTTTACACCTCGTGTGATGCTTAATCCGAAGCAAGATCACTGCTCTCTATGACACAGAGTCTGCATTCCACATCTAATTCTCGTTTAAAGGGGAGAAAGTGGAGTGACCAGATAGCCCAAGAAAAAAATGGTTTCTCCCCGTTTATTCAGTAGCTCAGAATCCACTTAATTTAACTCTTCTTGCTTGCTTCCGGTACTTGAGTTTCATGGGCTAGCCTGGGAGCCTTGGCCAGGCTTTTTAACCTTATGTTCATAGGAAGACCAGAAGGGACAAGGTGTTCAGGACATGTGAGAGGATGTAATGCCCTCGTGTGGATATGAGCTTGCTTCTCTCTGCTCCTGGACCAAGGTGCTTCTCGGGTGCCTTGTCATCTTCTCTACCTTAT